ACTGTGGTAAATTCAGTGTCACGCTGTTCAACTGAAGGATGGTGTGTACTGCTGGGAAGAGATGTCCACAGCAGGCTGTTGAGTAAACACAGAAAATGCAGAAGACTGATTAGATGTAGCCTGATCCTGTTTTTGAAAAAAAAATAGCATATTTAACAGGCATAAGATATATGAATGCATGTGTGTGGCAGTGTATATATATTTATGTAGCAGACACAAAATCTGATATGGTAAATAGCTCCATGATTATTCTAGAAAGGGAGATTTTTAATACCAGCATTGAAAAAAAAAGACATTAGCGAATAAATACGTTAATGCCGGTTGTGGTGGTGGATTCCTGTAATACCAGCACTCAGGAGGGTGAAGGAGGAGGATCACTGTGAGTTCAGGCCAGCCTGGACTACATAGTCAGTTCAAGGCCACCCTGAGCTACATATGAGACTCTGTCTCAAAAAATACACACAAACACACGCACTCACACACACACACACACACACACAAAAGAGTATATACTCTTTTCATCATATAAAAAGTCTTGAATTATTTTTAAAGCTTGAAAATATAAATGCACTAATTCTCTTGAATCATAGTTTTAATGTGATTAATATTTTTTAAATTCTGAATTTGGTGACACTGTAAATAAATTAAAGCATTTATTTCTTACTTCATTTTACCATAAATTTTGCAATGTGGCTTTGTTCTTGATGTTTTCATTTACTTTTCTCTTTTCCTAAGTGGGGAGGTAGGACATGGGAGAAGGTTTGCATCTCCACAATTCAGATCTGAATGTAATGTTGTAAGGATTATCCATAGTAATTTCATGTTGCTATTGTGGACATACAAGTTAATACTGTGTAGTTAATATTATGAATCTTGACATTACGATGTCATATTATATGCCTGACTGCTATGGTAGAATTAACTCTTGGGTATTTAGCATTAGTCACACAGGACTTTATTTTCTGGCAGCAGACTTTTACATTTCATTCTAGATAAGGATAATACTAGTTTGTGGACTGGTTGGCTCATCCATGTAGAAAGATGAATGCATTGGTTTTCCTTTAAAAACAGAATGCTTCAGAGGTTGTTGAGTCTCATTCACCTCCTTCAGCAAAGTATGAGAACCCAGGTCAGCTGAGGTTGGAGGTGGGTGTATGTGTGTATGTATCTGTGTGTCTGTGTGTATGTGTGTGTGTGTGTGTGTGTGTGTGTGTGTGTGTAGCTCTTATTAGTTAAGCATTCCAAGAATGCAGTGTCCTGTGCTTCATGGTTGCATAAGAAAGAAATTTGGCACCACGGTATTTGACTTGACTTTGTGGTGTGGCCTCTCATGGTCAGGCTTTTTTCCTGAGAGTCACTTTCATTGTGCCAGGTCACAAGAAGAGACATGGACGTGCATAGCGAGGGGAGGGGAGGATGGAGGGCAGGGAAGGATGAGCGCAGACCAGAAGCCTGAGGCATCTGTTAAGGCAAACTCCTTCCACCTCACAGACTGACACCCTTGCTTGCAGGTGAGAACTACCTGGCAGCTTTTGACAAAGACTAGGGGGTTCCTGACTCCTCCAGGCCAAGGGAATTACAATCTCTGGAGATTGAGCCTAGGCAGGAGGATTTCTTAAAAACCTCTCCAAGTTATTTTTACATGAGCCAAACTTGAGTGACCCTGGCTCCCTGGGAGTGCTCTGTGGCCTCAGAGAATTTACATGGACATTCGTGGGGAGTGAGGGGGGCTAAATGTTCTTGGGAATCAGTGAGCCAAGGTATCACATTCTCCGGGAGCCCAGAAAAGTGGGAGTGACTTCCTTTCAGATCTTATAATTTTTCTGTCTCTTAACTTGTTATAGAAAGTGGTCCAGTGAGTGGTATTAAACAGCAGGAGAGAGGATTTGAAAGGAGATAAATGCCATATATTCAAACAAACCACACACCATAGGCCCAGGCAGATTAAGGCAGAGCTGGTTATTTCTGTAGCACATTTCACATGCATTTTCTTAATCAAAGCATCCATGCAAGCCTGTGAGATAGGTGTTATGACCATTTGGCAGATGAGGAAACTGAAATCAAAGAAGCAGAGAGCCAGGATGTCTTAGCTACTGCATGGCCAGAGAGAGCCATCACCTGCCTGGCTCCCAAATCCAGGGCTCACTGTTTTCCTCAAAGCATTTAAAAGCTTTCTTGCATTTTAATGTTTCCTACTGACACTTAGCAAACAAGACCTTGGTTCTCTCAGTGTGACCATTTGAACGTATGAAGCAGGGAGACTAACTTGTGAAAACCAACCAAGGAAGCTGTGGGTCAAATAGCAAGAAAAAGTTACCAAACAACCCAGTTTTCTTCTCCCATTTATCCATAACTTCCTGATAGTTATCTAAAAGGATTTCTAATATTTGAAGAATGTACAGTCAGGTGCCACTTAATGATAAGATGTGTTCTGGGAAATTCACCATTAGCCAGTTTCATCGTGTGAACATCATAGAGTATATTTGCATAAACGGAGATGACTACAAATGTCACAAGGTGGTGTAATCTCATGATACTGCAGGTATATGTGTGGTCCATTGTTGACCAAAATATCATTATGTGGTTCTATATACTACTCTCTAGGCTTACAAAAAGTAATTTATTTAATCCTCCCAACAACTATATGATATATGTAAGTGCTGCTATTAATCTCCACTTCACAGATAGCAAAACTTGGGTCCAGAGAGCTTAGGCATCTTGTTGCAAGTCACTGAGAGCTTGTAGGTTTTAAAATCTAGATTTGAGTTCCAGTATTTTGGAGCAGAAGCTCACATACTTGGTTAATGTACTGTGCTCTTGTTGCTACTGCCCTGCTGATCAGAGGTCTCTATCTAATTATGACCCTCTACCCTTTCTTCCTCTTTCCTTAATTATAATAATCATTTATATTTACTATTATGGCTTGTACTGCATGTCCCCCCAAAGCCTCCTGTAATCATAGATAGGGTGGAGGTGGCTGGATCAAGGAAGTGTGATGCTGGGATTAAGGGTGTAGGTGGCACTGTTCAAGGGGTGGATAGCCGGGATGAAATACAAAGGCAGGCAGGCTTGCTGCTGCTGTCATTGTTTCCTGCCTTCTTGGCTGCCCTGCTTTGCCATGGACTGTCTTTCCTCCTTGATGTCCCTCTGCCATGCCACCTTTCCTGGGAGCCTGCTGACTATGGACTGAAACCTCTATGAACTCCTCTAACATGCAGTGTTGAGTATTTTGTCTCAGCAAAGAGAAAAGTAACTAAGACATTTACTGTGCTTTTATCATGCATTAGGCATTGTTCAAAGGCTTTGATTATGTCACTTAATTTCTTCATGCTTAGAGTGGACCAAGAGGTGAACTCTCAGGTGAAAGCTGTTCTCCAGGTCATGGCCATCCTCACCAGCACTCTCAGCAAAGGAACCCTTTCAGAACTTCTAAGGGAGCCTATGCCAGATTTTTGGTGCTGGAGAAGTCCCTCTGTGCTTTCTGTCATCCGTCGGGTCTTTCCTCAGATTCTTGGCAATGACCTCCCAATCACTTCCTGCTGCGTTAGCCTTGCCCATCACCACAACCTCTTCACTTAGGCCAGGGAGATGGAGCCCATCCACTTGGACTTCAGTCCAAGTGTCATGTGTCTGTACACTTGGGCCAAGTAGGATGGGAGAAGATCATTTCATTCTGGCTACAGTAATAAGGAGTTGTTTACTGCTCCTGAAGGACTGAACATCCAGAGAGCAAGGACATCAGTGAAGGTCACCATTAGATCCTGCTCTGAGTCCTGTAGAGACCAAGAGTGTCTTTCAGTGACTCTAGAGGACTCACACTTGGCCAAGCCCCACTGCTCTCCCCACCCACTTCCTTCCTATTGGAGGTTTTTGGTTTTGGGTTTTTTTTTGTTTTTGTTTTTGTTTTTTTTTGGGTTTTTTTTTGCCATTTCCTCCATCAACAGATTTTCCCCCTGGCTCTCCACATGGGGCTGGATCCTTCTCTACCTTCAGATCTCAGTTCAGCCCTCAAGACCCCATTGAGATCTCTGCTATACCCCATGTCTAAAGTGAGCTCTGCTCCTTTCCAGCCTTCAGTGGCCCTCTGCACATCACCCTTGTTTCCTTTTCTTAATCTTATTCTCCTTAATCTTATTTTTTTTATTACTTACTGTCTGCATCCCCCCCCACTGAAACTGTAAGCTATGAAAGAAAGAATGAGGGGCTTTCTTTTTCATTCACTGCTCAACTAGGTACCTCACTCCTAGCAGGGTACCTAGCCTCTAGCAGTGTTCAATAAATGTGTGCTGACTGGAAGAATGAACAAACCCTCTGTCATTGGAAGTGAAGGTATTGACACCGTTGCCAAGAGCTAATTTGTGCATTCAAATTCTGCCAGTGGCCTTTCCTAATTTATGTCTCTCTCATCCCCTAATAAATCCCTAGCTTATTTAGGATTTTGTTACTCTTATTTGCATCAGGTGAGACACCCTGGTGTCCTGTCTTCACTTCAGTCTCCCCAGTGTTGAGGGAAGTTGCTCTGTTCCCTGTAAACACCTTTTTGGAGAATAAAATCAGAAAGCCCATTTGAGTTCTCAGTGAAAGGGTGGCGAAAACTGTCATTGAGGAGAATCAATTCTTTGTTATAACTTAGTTTGAAATCTAGAGGTGACATGGAGGAACCTCTCATCCCTAGGCAATGTAGTAGGTGTCTAGCAGCACACACAAGCAAAGCTTCTGCATTCAAGAGGTTTTCTGTCTACTGCCAAGAAAAGACTGACCTGAATGACAAGAGCACAGCAGCATGCAAAGCAAGTACGAATTCCCAACAAGAGATGACCAGTACTGTGTTTGTAGTGGAGAGCACTCCCTGGGGTCTAGGAGGACTTTGTGGGATATAACCAAAGTGTGGAAAGCAGAGAGGCTTTGGGGAAGTGTACTTGGATGTGTTCTGTGGCTTGGTAAGTGTTCTGTGGCTTAAGGAGTTTTCTCTGTGGTTACTGGATTTTCTGTTTCTCTAGATACAGCCGGAGGATGCTCCAGTTGTCCTCTGGCTTCAGGGTGGACCAGGAGGCTCATCCATGTTTGGACTCTTTGTAGAACACGGGCCTTATGTCGTCACATGTAACATGACTGGTAAGTGTTGCTTGGACTGTATTTCCTATGCAGAATCCTTCATGTGCACATTATATCTGCTCCAAAACTAATTTAGAGTAAACACCAACTCTCTGGGAATGATTTAACAGTTCCAGATTGTAATAACACAACTTTCTGCCAGTGCCTGTCCAAGAAAGAGGAGCCCCACCCGGTGAGTGTCCTGACTGGCCTACTTTCTCCCTTGAAATGTGGGTGAAAGGTTCTAAGCCATTTTCTTAAAGTCTGCTGCTGACTCAGGCATTCTCGGCTTACAAAAACAGTTGGTATTTATTACTATTTGGGAGAGCCCTCTTGCATAGGCCTAATGGGGAAATTGTATCCCTAATTATTCACACCAACAGAACCCTTTATGGTTCAGCAGCTTGAATCATCTGATATTTTGGAAGTGAGATGGGTGGGGGCTGGGATTTGGAAGTAATAGAGAGAATGCCACATCTGGCTGGAACCCAAGTTAGACTCCATTTTATTGTCTAATTTGTAGGAAATTGTTTGCTTTCCCTGGGTCAGAATTCGGGGTGTGTACTTGTTTGTGATGCATTACAAAAGCTTGTGTACATGTTTTCTTAAAATGTTGCTCCCTTCAGCTCTGGGTGGGCAGAATGGAATTTAACAGGATTTGGATGTTCAGGATGATAGTAGGACTGGGCAGATGGACATATAGCATAGATGGTTTGTCCATGTTTCTTCATGAACTAGTTGCATTGGCTTTTGTTTCCAAGCTTAATTTGAAATGTAGAAGCCCTTATGGGTTAGGGAGTAGCAAAGGAGAAGAACGGAGAGGAGAAGGTCAGGGTACTGGAGCCTGGTCCCCACTGCAACAGCGTGACACACTGTCGTAAGGGGTACCCAACCAACATTAACGAGGGCAGGTGATTGTGCTGGTCTCCTGATCAGAGTGAGCTTGTTTTGGTAATAACTCAGTCTCAACCCCCTTCTTTTAATAGTTCGTGCCAGAGATTTCCCTTGGTCTACCACACTGTCCATGCTTTACATCGATAATCCGGTGAGTGGGATGTGGCCCTTTGAAATGTGTCTCTGTCCATGTGAAGTGTCTCAGTGCTGGCTTTTTCTGTCTTTTTTCTTTTCATTAATTTTAGTTATGTGCTGCATAATAGCATTTCAGTCAGTAGCAGACCACATGTACTATGGTGGTCCTATAAGATTGTAATGGAGCTGAAAAATTCTTCTTGTCTGTGATTTATACTATAACTTTGCAATGTTTACTTACACAAATACTTATTGCATTATAATGGCTTATGGAATTCAGTCCAGTAACATGCTGTATAGGTTTGTAGCCTTGGAGGAAGGAGTTGTATGTGTGTGTGTGTGCGTGCGTGTGTGTGTGTGTGTGTGTGTGTGTGTGTGTGTGTATATCATATAGGGGGTATAAATACCATATAACCTAAAAATGTAGGAGACCATTCTTTCTAGGTCTGAACTCTATGAGTGCCCCACAAGTTCACATAAGCACACATTGCACAGAATATATTCCCACTGTTGAACAATTCATAGCATTTTTTTTAAAAAGTAAAGATTTTCTTCTTAAAACAGAATTTAGAGGTAAGTATGATGAGTAGGACTGTAAGTCTAGCACTCTGGGAGGCTGAGCAGTAGAATTACAAGTTTGAACCCAGCTTACTAGACATTTTAGCACCTTAGCAAGACTCTGTCTCAGAAAAAAGAAAAGTAAAGAAAATAAACAAAACCATATTGGGAGTTACTTTTTATGCTAGCATGTTTCATCATATATGAGTTTGAAGTTTTCTTTCTCCTTTCTTTTGTTTTCATTTTTTACCCTCTGAAATTCCCTGTTCATTGAATCATACCAGCCAGGGTAAGGAATTAGAATCTATTCACTGATGTTTAGGGTTCCCATTATCACAGGTTATTGTTTAAAATGGGAATTCCTAATCTATCATACAGGGCTGTAGATATAAGAAGTCAAAATTGGTCTCCTTTCTTATCAAGGCAAGCAGAGTCTCATTTTAGAACAAAAAGATGATGTTCTCCTTGGGAGATTTTTCCAATACTCCTTAAAGTATGGTACAAATAGGAGAGTTGGTGCAGTCAGCTGCACATGTGGAGTATCTTTAACCTTAATTAAACCTCTAACTTCTCTCACTTCATAGACCGTTTAAAGAGAAAACAAGTAAATAGGGAAAAAAGAGTAATCTCTTCTTGCTTTGTCAGCCATCCTTTTTCCTAATCTATAATTGTATATTTAAGTAAAATGTGAATTAAATGTTATATTCTCTGGGTATTTGGGGGAAAGTATTCATATTTGGTGGGGGAGTGTGTTCCTTATGCAAGTTTTTAACACAAAATCCCTTTTAGCTTCTTTGATTTATAGCTCAGTTATATGACAGGAGGATCACAAATTCAAGCCAACATGGGCAGTTTACTGACTTTGCAAGACCCTTTCTCAAAATATAAAAGCAATCTGGAGATGCGGCTCAGTATGAAAGCACTGGGTTCAATTCCTAGTACTGTAATAGCAATCAGTCAAGTAATCTGAAGTCAGAGGCTTGGCCTTTTGGAATAAGATCACCTTTCAGCGTGGATGTTACTTGGAGGCCCCAAAGCACACATGTCTCTGTGTTTATATCTGCTTCTTTATTTCCCCTTCAGGTGGGCACAGGCTTCAGTTTTACTGATGACACCAAGGGATATGCGGTCAACGAGGATGATGTGGCAAGAGATCTGTACAGGTAAATTGTCCTGGCTTTCTCCTGGTCTCTAAAAGCAAATATTTTTCTATCTCGATAAGAAAATTCTTCCAGTGCTAAAATTAGTATTCTTTGGCCCTTGTTGTCTAATTTCTGAAAAACCCACATATACGTATACACACAAACACATGTACACGTACCAAACACAGAGTATACTTTTCACTTTGTTACTTTATCATTGATAATCATGAAAGTAGCCAGCAGAGAAAGTAGCAAGAGGTAATACCTTAAGGTATACTGTAATTTTGTGAAGATAAATTTTAAAATAAAATGGAGCAAATCAAAGATTATTTTTTAAACCTTTCAGCCAGATGTGTTAGAAACTTGTTTTCCAAAATTTTGTCTAACTTTTCATGTGTCAGAAGATATTTTTCTAGATATTTGTTTGTCTTCATTCCCAGGATTTCCCCTTTTGTGGATGAAAGTTTTTACTCTCTTGCTTCTCTTATTTACTTCTCCAGGCTGAAAACTTGGCTGTGCTAGCTAGTCTCTTCCTTTCCCTTTTTTTGTTACAAAATTTTCATTTTGTTTTTTTTTTAAAAACAAAAAATGTAAGGTTATAAGCCTGATTAAACTAT